TGTTTGTACCATCTCGTTTCTGTGGATAGTTGATAGCAATGTCACGTCTCGTTTGTCATGCCACGTCAGTGCCATGTTGTCATTAGCATGAAACGCTTGCACTTCACCTTCAACACTGCCTCCAGTGAACCTTGGCATATGTTTCCTATTCCTTCTCACTGTTCCACATACATCAGTATTGTTCACACGTAGGAAATCAGCAAGCATAGGGCTTGTATACCAGTTGTCTGTGTACAATGTATGGCCCTTGCCAAGGTATGGTTCCATCATCCTGCGAACATCATCACCGGAAATGCCCAACATCCTTCTGTCATCATCGAGTGTGTTTTTCCCTGTGTATACAATTACATCCAACACAAGACCACTCTCACAGTCACACATAACAAAAAGTTTTATACCAAAGCGATTACGTTTGCTCAGTATATATTGCTTGAATGACAGGCGTCCCTTGAACAGAATCAAGGACTCTATCAACAACAATGCTCTTGAAGGGATAAAAGTATACACTGAATTTCTGCTTCAAATACATAAACACTTCCCGGATTTTGTATAGAAGGTCATTTCTGTCTGGCGTATTTCTGTCTGCGAAGTGCAACATTCGTAGCAACAGAGTGAATCTGTTGCAGGGAAGGAGGTCACGGAAAACTGGAGTACTGATGAAGTGGTCTGTAGACCAGTACAGTGGACCCCCACATAACGATATTATTTCAATCCAGAAGTCTGTTTGGGTGCCGTTATAGACAGAATTTGTTCCCATAAGAAATATTGTGAATTAGATTAGTCCGTTTCAGACCCCTTAAAATACACCTACAAAATCACTTACAAAAATACACTTACATAATTGGTCGAGTTGGGAGCTGATCGTTATGCAGGGGTCCACTGTAATTACGTATATTGTTCTTATAGATATGTGGCATAAGCATGACAGTGGCAAGGAATAAATACATTTCAGCCACTGTTGTGTCTTTCCACCTGTGCAGCCGTGATGATTCTCCAACCTCTGTTGTGTTGTTCATGACATATTGGTAATAAATGTTTGTCTGAGTCACTATCAAGTTCATTATTGGCTCGTCAAAGTACAACTGGAAATAGTCTAACTCTGTAGACTCATTCGTTATGGGACATTCTGGCTGGATACCACTTCCACTAGCATCAAAATCACAAGGCTGTGGCACGAATATACTTTGTGTCCAGTTCCACTCACGATCACATGGTGCAGGGTGGACCTGTGGCATGGGGCGAGAGGGGGCAGGAGGAGGAGGGAGAGGACTGGAGGCAGCACATAGTTGAGGGGGTGCCGGGCAGTCCTTTGTCTGTCCACCCACTGCGCCATGTGGTCCAGGCGCCATGCCACCCACCACTACTTCCTCCATCCCCGCATACTCCCCTTCGTGATCACTTTCACTATCAGTGGCCGGGGTTTTGGATCGTGACCTGCCACGACCCTTGGGGATTGCATATGGCACACTGCCTGAGCGTAGATAACGACGCATAAAAGTACGTTTCACTGGTGAATAATGAATGTCACTATCACTAAACGAATCCTCAATTGGCATAAAATCAATCTCATCATCACTTTCACTATCACTACTAAAACACTGGGAAAATGATAGTTTCCTCTTGCGAAGTTGCCTATGGGTAACACTTGCCACTCCAGAGGTGCTTGGCCCAGGGTCTTCTGTGGCCACACTGGCCACCCCAGAAGTGCTTGGCCTATGGTCTGATGTGGCCACACTTGCTACCCCAGAGGTGCTTGGCCCTAGGACAGGTGTTGCTACCCCAGAGGTGATGGGCTGGGGGTCATCTGGGTTATCGTCGATATTTTCACTAATTCCTTGAATATTACTGGCCCCATTGGTGTCAAATCCACTAAACTCACGATCTCTATCACTTTCCTCGAATAGTAGAGTGTTAATACGACGAGGCATGAGTGAATCACAAGGATGTGCCATGATGTTGACCCAGGATGGAGCTGAATGTAACCGGTCCTACCATGTGGTACTCAGGCGTCCCAGATTTTTTGTATACTGCGCACACTGAGTGCGCACACCCATTCTCTCATGTCTAGGCGACTCAGGCCTATCGCCCTAATTTTGAACGAATGAAAAATAAAACGTATATATACGTTTGGGGTGCTATGCGCGTGAACGTATATATACGTTTGGACCGTTTAAGGGTTAAATGTAGACCCCCCCTTTCCAGCATCATAGAGCCTCCCTTGAAGAGTGATAATACACTAACACATTTCTCCTCATAATTAGTAATTATTTAGTGTTTTTCCATTTTTATGTTCTTACTGTATGGTGTTAGATATTTATATCAAAAACAGACTAATACCTCCTTCCCTATCCAATCACTACCTCCCTACTTCCCCAACCCTTTCAAAATACAGTAAGGCTAATGTAGGAGTCATCTGTGTGCCTACTGTCTACAACACTTACAATTCTACAGTCTGATGTTAGTAGTGTTAGTTGTGAGTGCCACTCCTCTCCCATCTACTCCCTCCCCCGCACCAAACACATAAAGAAAGCGATGCACACATGCTCTGCTGTTCATCAGTGTGAATAATGGACATCGAAAATTTTCTTTAATATTCATTTTAGAGATAAAGGTGCTTTAAATATTACATAAAAATTGTAAGAACATAACTGAGATACAATGCAGCAGGCCTATGGGCCCAAACTTAGCATATTCTTATCAAATACAACAATTCTCACTCATATATTTGTCTAACCTATTTTTAAAGCTACAAAAGGTAATACTTGTAACACCAAAAACACTAATAACCAATACAAGGCATAATTGACATTAGTTTAGGTTATTGTACTGTACTGATGAATTGATGCCAAACTTCAATTACTAATGTAACCCAATTCAAATTGAAATAGACAACTCATTCATCGTACCAAACTGTCATACAGTATTCAGTCATGAGGGATGAAATGTCAAATGTCATTGTCATTAACACTTTAAGGGTCGCGACCCGTGCTCTCTGCTCTTAAACTTGCTCTCAGGGCCGGAAAAAAAAAAATTATGAAATGGTAGAAAATCTTTTTCTGAAGGTAATAAAACAAAAAGTACAAAATTTGATGGAAAACTGACAAAATTACACTTTAAAAATTTTTGTTGTCAGCGATATTTATGCATTGGCAATTTCATCCAATGAGTCCAATTTTAGGCCAATTCCATTGTTCCAGTTGACCAGATTCTTAACTATTTCACTAGCATGTCTTCTATCAACTCAGTACAAGAAACTGCCATTTAACTATTTAAACTACCCAATAGTGATCAGAAATTGGTAATTTGGCCAATTTTATACAAAATTCAAGAAATATCAATTTCAAAAGAGGGCACAGAATAAACAATGCAGACATTCCAGGCACTAAAATAACATTTTTCTCTTTTCATTAGTCATTTCTCTAGGCCCCTCTTATATTACACTTGCTTTCCATTTTGAATTTTTATTCACACAAAATATAGATTTACCATTGTGCAAACTACTGCATTATTGTAATAATTGGATAAATAATGTCAGTGTATTCCTAAATGAATATCAGACTGGCCAGCTGGATGCGTACTGAACTCTGGAATATCGGCAAAAATCAAACATTTCTGTTATTTTGAGCTCAATTTCAAGCTACTTTCAGTCCTGAAACCAATCAAAATCATGTCTATTTCTATATCTTCCATTCTATCAAATGAAACCAAGAAACTGAGAACACAGCCATAAAAACCATATGAAAATACATCACAAAGTCACTATTTTAAACCAAAAACACAGTCACAGTTTTTTCTCATTATGCACTGCATCCTGCAGTATTTTTTTTATATGGTGCACACTTACTGCATAGACCCATTCTCTCATATGAGGGCCCAAATTTACAGCTCACAGGTTATCTGAGTGAGCTGAGCTCACGGTGATGTACTATGGGACCGACACCGGCTTCAAACCATACCATGGGCGGGGATAGAACCCGCAATCAGAGAGTCTCAAAACTCCAGATTGTCGCGTTAGCCACTGGACTAGCTAGCCACAAAAAACTTGCATTTGTTGTCACAGTGGTGCATATGCTAACCTTCCTATGGTGTAGAAATATACCTAGTTGGACGAATCTTATTGTGGCTAGCTGGTCCAGTGGCTAACGCTATGGTCTGGAGTTTTGAGACACTCTGATCGCAGGTCATTACGATTTCAAGAGTCATGTTACTGGCTTCAAAGCCGTGATACAACACGATTAACCTCAAAAGGGTTAAATATCATTGAAGCTAATCTTGGCAGGCTTTGGAAATATTCAATATATGTACTATAAACTTTAGTAAGGGATACTTGCAAGTGCTTTAAAAAAAAAAAAACATGGTCGAAAGAACCAAGATGTTTTTTAATAAATACATCCCATTGTTTGCTCAAGTGTCTTTTTAAACCATCACTCAAAGCACATACAGTTTTATGATTTAGAAAATACCTGCCTGACAAATTCTACTCAAGAGAACACAAGCAGAACCTATTACTGATCATTCCCTCTGATGAAGATTATGAAAACAATAATCATGGTTACTTGTATGATTGTTTTCATATTCTTCATCAGAGGGAATGATCAGTAATAACATAATTTCCCTTGCATACTTAATATCAGGTCCTTAACTATAACATAGAGGACTAACATTATATACAGAAATCTACAACTCATTTACCAATCACTGCCTCTGTAACAGTGCTAAGGGTGTAAACACACGTACAATCTTACCTAACCAAAAATAAGTAAGGAAAACAGAATTTGCTGAGTTACAGGAAATGTTAAGAAATTGATGCTGTTAACTTCGTAACAGTAGTGAGATTGCCACCCGACCACTGAAGTTATTACTCACCTCAGCTGAAGACACTGACATGGCATTGTGATAATACTTCTTTGTCTTTGTTAACAGTGCATATCTAATCATGAATATTAACATTATTGTAGAAATATTTCCATGATATTGTATCAACATAAATAAGTACGTACTTCAGCTTTTTGACTTGGAGACACTCTGCAACATATGACACTCTTGCAAGATATACATAAATCTAGGAAGTCCTTGCGTAAATCTGGTGTGAGGGCATACATGAGTGTCTTTCCATCAATAATAAGAGCCGCCTCATTCTCTCTTTTCAGATGTTCACCAAATTCCACCACGTGACGGTTAACTGCCTCCCGAGTTTCCTGAACACAAATTAACCATTTTATTAACACAATGAGAAAAGTTAATATATTTGATGTTACTAGATGATCTATCCTATCTCATCAAAATGGCTGGTTCATTAAAAAAAAATTGAAATACTAAAACATTTGCAATAACAACACTACTATACTGTACAATGTAATACTACACAATATAGTGAAATACATATTGTTGAGTCATAAAAGCTGTTTTCCTCAAGGCTCAACAAGCACCAAATCATTTAATAACACTAATTACCACCAGATGAGTGGAAGGGTATGAACAGGAATATCAGAACAATAACATATTTTAAAAGTTATACACTTTGCAGTAGGTACTATAATACAGTGTAATACTGCAATAATCATCAAGCATAGATCAGAATGGTGCACATTTTACTGTTGTACTGTGTCAGTGTAACCTAGTTGCTTCAATACAAAAAGTCAACAATCAGTTTCATGGACCTGAACTGCATGTGGCATAAAGGAAACTTCTTTAATAATTTCCAACAAAACAAATTGTTATATTAAATGACTTGGCACAAAAATATGAGTGGCAGCTACTACTGAAGGTGCCGAGCAAGTGGCAAGCTGCTCGGCAAGCACTCTGCCCTATTACACACACCAAAGATCTGCTTTCACTATACCACTACACCTGCATTATACTGTAGTTTTACCTTTTATTATCATCTTTATCACACTATCAATCACCACTATCCTCACTGCTTATTATTACAAATGATCGTTATCTCCACTGATCTTCGTAACTTCTCATGTTCTGATCCTCTGACATTAAACACTAACTAAAGAAAGATAAAGATTTTTATTTCTTAGTAAAGGTTACAATATGAGATTACAATTCTGATTTGTACAATTCTGATTTGTACAAAGAAAGTCACTATCATGCCAGGGCATTTCAGGCAGACTAAACCTAATGCTTACAGACTACTTAATACTAGACATATAAAGAATGGTAAATTTTAATTATACACTGTTTCCTTTATTACAACAGAGGTAGATAGTGGTTTACAGTAATTAAATTTACAGTTGAGATGAAGTGTATAAAAAAATTACAGTATTACAATTTAGCACAATTTACAATAATGAGATTGAAACAATTTTAAGTTTGAGATAATGATTAAGTAACTGAGCAATCATAAATTATTTGGGATTCTTTGAGTTGCTGGTAGGTGATAAAGTATAATGATTATTTGGTTAATTTTAGGCAATGAGGTGATTTATAAGTAGAATCTTACATTAATTTGCAGGCAGGAATAAACCAAGTCCACAATTAGACATCAAAATAAATGATCCAAAGTAGAGCAAAAAAAATGAGAAAACATTCCCATGTCAGCTCATAGATAATAAGCTAAAATTTAACCCTTAAACTGTCCAAACATAGATCTACATGTATATTGCTAGCATTTCAAATGTAGATCTTCTTCTTCTTCTTCTTTCAACATACCAGCCGTATCCCACCGAGGCGGGGTAGCCCAAAGGAAAAAACTAAAGTTTCTCCTTTTAAATTTAGTAATATATACAGGAGAAGGGGTTACTAGCCCCTTGCTCCCGGCATTTTAGTCGCCTCTTACGACACGCATGGCTTACAAAGGAAGAATTCTGTTCCACTTTCCCATGGAGAAAATGTAGATCTATGTTTTATTTTTCCTGCCTCCAAATTTGGCATGACTGGCCTGAGATGCCTGGTCAGTATAGAATGGGTCTAAACACTCGGTGTGTGCAGTATTAAAAAAATCTGTGACCACTTAGAACCTTGTGGGAGCACCAGTTCAATTGAGTGCCAGCTAGAGCAAACAGCATGGCAAACACCAGGGATTCACTGATGTCATGTCGTATTAACACTCCCCCTTTTAAGAGGAAAGTGATGGATGTGGCCACAAGTGGTGGAGGAAATATTAAAAACCTTGATAATAACCCATGTGTAATATTTGTGCAACATCCTTTCATTTTTGATACCACTGGAAGTATCATCCTCCCCTAGTGTCATAACCCACGCCCTAAGAGAAATGATTCTGGAACATGTGTAATATGTATTCGGCAGGCTGGCTGGCTGGCTGGCCGATTGACTGACTTTCACTGTCTCTATTTGTCTTTGTCTATATCTCTGTCTATCTCCGTCTCTCTCTCTCTCTCTCTCACATGTACAGATAAGTACAGTTATTATACGTAGTGTAAATTACCTAGGATAACCCAAAATTTCCAAAGTGGTATAGAGTGCTTGTAGATATAAGACATAATAAGCATGACCAGCAAGTAATACACATTTTCACGAATCAGACATGAC